GCGTAAGCAACGAAGAATCGTTTCGACATCGAAACGATTATTCTGCGAAATTTTTGACAATCCACGAAGCAGAAAGTCTAGTGGCAATAATCAAGAAATCAAGTGAATATTTATCATTCTACAATTCTTTAGCAAGGTAAAAATACTAGATCGAGGTAATAACGCGAAGAATTTTGTTTCGATTTTTACGCGCAAGCGTAAAGAAGATTTTTTTCAAAACGATTATCCAATCTTCGCGAGTTCTTTCGTAGTTTTATCCGCGATATCAAAACACACAAAATAAATTATGCAAACGTGGATCCAGATAAAGAATTCAAAGTCATGGTTATCGAAGACGAATGTTCTGATAAATCCTCGGATGCGCCGTTCGCCTTAAAAGACAAGCATTGAGATCAGATTAACGCCAGCGAAGGTATTCGATTCGAACTGTGAGAATCAGCGGATTCCAAATTGTGGTTTATATTGTTCTGAAATGAAATTGCTACTTGGTACTTTTCATTTTTCTTTCGGGGTTAAATAAAACACGCACATTGTATATTGTACGTGTAAATTCCTTTGAAATACGATATATATACTTAATTGATACGTCATTTCCATACGATTCAATTCGTTCTCCTAATGATCAATTAGCTTCACTATTTATAAGGATTTGCAAGGACTGATCAGTTCTAGAATTTCGCTGCTTCTTGGAATGAAACTGTTGCAGTTTCCTCGCTCCTTTCTTTCTGTTTAACGATTTCTTTGAATACAATTTATATATCAAAAAAAAAAAATTAATTTTTTCTTTAATATATAAATTAATAAAGATCATTAAAAAGATTATTAATTTTATACTCTCGAGATTAAATTCACTTGGGGAAATCGTACAAATATATTTTAATCACTCGCGACAAACGGCAATAAAATTTTTAAGCGTTTCTATCAGAAATCTTCCACGATTGAACGTACGTTATTTTTGGCAAACTTCTTCGAACAAACGAGAATTTCATTCACGCTCTCGCCCAAGTATGTGGTTCGACAGAGCGGTTCGAAAGTCGCGCCCAATCGAGGAATGAAAAGAGACGGATAAGAATCACGAGATCTTTCCTTTCGCGTCCTCGCGATTCCCGTTTCCGACTCGCGCGTCTCCTTAATGCAAATCGCGCGACTTGTTTATTGATTAACGAGACACCAGTATAAATATATACTTATATTTATATATAAGTACTCACACACACACACACACACACACATGCACACACGTGTGTGTCTACTTGTACGTGTATATTCGTGCAAACTCATTAACGTAATTAATGATACGGGAGACCGTTTCAGTAACAGCCGGTGGAATAAATAAGCGATAATGTTATGTAGATGCAGGCGATCAATCCTGACGTCGCATGATAAGGAAGAGAGAAAAAAAAATCGGGGAAAAAACGACAGAGAAAGAGCAGAAAGGGGGGAAAAAAAATAAAATGAATCGTCGCTGTGCGAATCGCGAATCTTCCGGATCGTTTCCGAACTTCGTCGATGCGAATCAATGATCGCGTTTATGACAATTGCTCTTTCTCTTTTGCTCTTATTTCGTTTCGAAAGAAATTCGCAACAAAATTGAAAAAAACGATGTCACAGTATGCGTTCACGAGGTGAATATTCGATGTGTGTACACAGAGGAAGAATTAAACCGACGAATTTAACAGACACGAAAGAACAACTGAAAAGTTCATTCGCTGGCGTAAATGTTCCTCGACGAATGGCTCGTGATCGGATTTAACAGATATTTCACAGTGCTTGAGGGAACAACGATAGTTTTACAACGATAGTTTCCTCCCTTTTAATTTCTTTATCGCCGATTCTTGTCGAAACGATCCTTTGCTCATCTGGACTCGACGGAAATTTTCAACGATCGAATTCATTCGAATCGGAACGCGTCGAAATGAAAATTTCCTTTCTGAGAAAAAAAAAAAGAGATAAATGAGTAAAAGCGATCGCGCGAACGTTCGCAACGTTCCTGGTTTTCAAGGAATTCCACGGCAAGGAATTCAAACATAAATCAGATCGATCCTCCGAAGCAGGAGATTCCGTGATCGCGAGCGTACATCAGCTGCCAAGCAGCCGTATCAGAAGACATATATAACAATCGGGCGTGATGAACAGCGGCGAACTCGTTCCTTTCATTTGCGCCCGAGGGAGGGGGAGGGAGCAGAGGGAAGGAAGGCAGCGCTTCCAGATAGAGAGACCGAGAGACAGAGAAACGAAGGTTGCACGTACGATTTGGATTAATCGCGGGATCCGTAGAATCGGCCGCGATTCGACGTTAATGGTCGTCATGGATCGACGATGATACCCTCGGACGTTCGTAAAGTATAGCTCCCGTTATCTCTGGTCATGTACGCGTCCCGCGCGGATACATTCTCATCCAGAAATTTCATCAACACTCGACAGTTTTCGCGATTCGGGAAAATGCTCGTAAGAATTCTTTTCGCATGGTGTCTTCGATGTCAGATTCCATCGCTTTCCGTCTGAAACTCCCGTGTCGATCATTTCCAAAACCCGAAACGAATCAGAGGAATCGCAAGGAGGTTGGGCGAGTCTTTGAACTCCGCAATTCCGGCAGAGCGTTATTGCAACAATTAACGCTCGCGGTCGAACTCTCCGCCGCGGCATCGTATCTTTTTTTCCGCCACGACGAGGTTCAATAACACTTGTCACCGCCGTTGAAACGTATCGCGCGGCGAACGCGAGCAACAAAACGCTACTGCCGCTATACGGTGCGATACGTGTGCAGTCTTTCTCTTCGATCGCGCAAGGCACGAGGAGAAGGACGACGAAAAAGCCGCGGGGGTGGGGGAG